CGCCTATCCAAGCTTTAGGAACAACAAATAATAACTTGACTTCTAGTTAATCATTTGGTAACAAAAGTGGCTTATTTGAAAGGCAAAGGCCTTTAGATTACACTTATTTTACCAAAATAAAACATGATCATGCCTTTTTAATGATTTAATTAGGACAGTAAAGTCTTACTTTGCTTAGACAAAAGTCTTGTCACTTAACAGAAATAATGTACAGTGAACCCCCATATTGAATGTTACCCTAAACCATGATTTTTCTTTACTGTTTTCTTTGAGAATCTTGGGTATAAGCGAGTTCCAAAAGGCCTTCTGCAGTATTTGTGATGTTTGGGATGCAGTTCAACAGATGATTCATCAGAAAAATCTACCTTCTGCCACTTTTCCAAATAATCAACTAGAAGTCACGTTATTATTTGTTGCTCTTTCAACTGGGAACGACGACAATACTTTTGTCAGGTAGTGTACTGTCATCATGGCACAGTTAAAAGAAATCAATTATTAGAAATGAACTATAATGTTTAAAAATGTGTTGAAAAAAAATCTTCTTTCTGTTCAACAGAAATTGGGGAAAAATATACAGGGGGCCTAATAATACTATTACTTCATAATTGATTTCAACTGTATACAGTATATAAGATTATTCCGACAGTAAAACCTAGTTATCTGTACTTTTATTATTAAATATAACAATCACTTTGGTATTATTATTGTTGGTAACACTTTATTTTGATGGTCCATTTGAGTATTAGTAGACTGTCTGCTAAAAATATGTTGATACTACTGCTAAACAGACATTTAACTACTGATAAGAAACTTTGCAAGTACATGTATACTTACACTAACCCTAACTCCAGCTGAACAGTCTACTTATAATCTAATGAGAATTAGTTGGCATGTAAATCCAATGCAACTTAAATACAACAAACGGACCATTAACATAAAGTGTGACCTATATATATAAATTATTTCACTTATAAAAAATGTGACAGAGCCTGACTTAAGCTTGTCATCCTCAAAAAAAAAATTATACAAAAACAATCATAAAAACATAAACAGTTGAAGTCAAAATTATTAGCCCATCCGTTATTTTTTCCCCCCAATTTCTGTTTACCAGAGAGAAGATTTTTTTTTTCAACACATTTCTAAACATAATAGTTTATCTTTGCCATGATGACAGCAAATAATATTTTAGTAGCTATTTTTCAAGACACTTCTATACAGCTTAAAGTGATATTTAAAGGCTTAATTAGGTTAACTAGGCAGGTTAGGGTAATTAGGCAAGATATTGTGTACCGATAGTTTGTTCTGTAGACTATCGAAAAAAAAAATAGCTTAAAGGGGCTAATAATTTTGATCTTAAAATTGTGTTTAAAAAATTAACAACTGCTTTTATTCTTGGCAAACAAAACAAATAAGACTTTCTCCAGAATAAAAAATATAATCAGAAATTTCCTTGCTCTGTTAAACACAATTTGGGAAATATTTAAAAAAGAAAAAAAAAATTCCAAGAGGGGCTAATAATTCTGACTTCAGTGGTAATAACAGAACGCATCCTTGATCACTGTCAGCTTATTCTCCATCAAACAATGTCACTTCCGAGTCATAACCTTAAAGGTTTAAAGCATGCATCTTATGTTAAATTTAATGCAAATATTGCAGGACTGACAGAAACATGGGGGAAATTGTAAAATAGTATTTATTTGTAGAATTCATTCATAATTTCATGTTTTTAATCAATGGATGTGAATGATAACAATTTACCCTTGCTATTTCTGAAGTAATTTTTTCTCTAAATAACAATTTTTAGCATAACAAAACTACTAAAGATGTATGTTAAATTGGGCTGAGGTCAAAGACTATAGCCCCTTTCATACACACAGACCTTTCCGGAAAATGACCGGCAATTTTCCGGAAAGGTCTGTATGTGTGAACAGCCCCTTTTTGTAAATAAGAGAAGTTGTAACATTTCCGGTAATTTGCCGTAATGCTACGCTGTGTGAATGCAGCCGTTCAGTGCCTATTTTTGGGTAGTGATGTCAGAATTTACCGGCATTTTAGAATGAATGTGTGAATGCTCTTTTCCAGAAAAATTCCATAACGTTCTAGTCTGTGTGAACAATGCTTTTTTGAATATACCGATAAAGTCGTTCCGGATATTTTCCAGATATTTACCGGTATCACTGTGTGAAAGGGGCTAATGACAGGGTTTGTAAATTTGTAAAGTGTTGTAAATTTTGTAAACTAAATGAATGACATATTCCTTTACAGAACATCTCACAGAAATCAGTTCATTTTAGAAATGTTTGGGATGAAATACTTTTTATTCACTGTATTTACGTTTCGATTTCAGGGACATGTCATGTACGTTTCTGGGAGAATGTCCCTTATTTTGAGTTTGTATGATTTGCTATGTTCCAAACAAAAGTTGAGGAACTCTTGACAGCTTCTCAAATCATTTGTCTGCGCTAGTATCTTCACTGATATATTTGTGTTTGTGGCTCTTCAGGGCCACCCCTCAGACTGATAAATATGCAGCATTCAGTGGGGCTCTCATCAGTCACAAAACAGCTCAGGACGCCATTAACCGACCGCACTGCCTGCGAGCGAGCTGTCGACGCGCACGCAGCATAAATCTGCTGTTTTTGACACTGAAGTTCTAAAATATTAATTTTGTTAGGATGATCCAGGTTGTTCTCGGGGGGGATGGGAGTTAATTCATGTGCTTGCAGTTGTTACCACGCAGAATCAGTGGTACATTTAATTAGACAGCAATCTGGACAGCAGTCTGCGCCCTGCTGTTCCGCCGCGTTTAATAACGTGTGAAGCCATGAGCGTAGGTTAGCGAATATATCTCCTTATAGGTTCCTAGATTATCTTAAGGGGAAAAAAATTAGCACCTATAAGGTGTGAGGGCTAAATTCATGAGTGCTTTGCACTGACTGTCTATGGTGAAAATGACAATACAGCCTTTTTTACACTCTTTAGCTCAATTTTAAAGTCTAGTGAGCAGACTGCATATCACTACTATGGAATTGTTTAGCATTATTAGGTACAGTTAGCATAAGAAGTTAAACAGCCACTATACGATGCTTTAGTATTAGCTGAAATGTAAGAGAGAATCATGCATCCTTCACGTGTATGAAAATAGTAATGTAATTGTACTGAATGGTGTTTTCTGTGGATTATTCAGTTAGACTTTATAATAAAGGTGCATTAGTTAATATATTAATTAACTTGAACTAAGAATGAACAATGCTTGTATTGCATTTATTAATCATAGATCAATATTTACCAATGCATTATTAAAAGCCAAAATTGTGTTTGTTAACATTGACGCACTGTGAGTTAGCATGCATGTAAACTTTATATTTATCAACTAATGTTAACCAAGATTCATTAATACATGTATTGTAAATAAATTAAAAAAGTGGCCTTTAAAGGAGTGTATTTTTAAGGCTAGGTTGAGTTTATAAGATACAAAGCAATGTGTGTTCCTGAATTATTTGTAAAAAAAATCACATTATTTTTCAGATTTCTTACTCCGATTATATACAGCTACTCAGCTAACATGAAAACGACGGTCATATTTCCTAGTTCCTCTGAAAGGCCGACCCTCAAGAGGCTCTGATTGGTTAGCTACCATAATGAGCTGTGATTCGCCGATCAGCTCCACGTCACCAGGAAAAGCATGTGCTTTGCCTCTGCTGTGTAAATACTGTCAGTCAGAGTAGCTGTCAGCAGTTTAAGCCTGAATTAGACATTAAATAAAGAGGACACAGCTGAACCTCTTGTCTGCTCTCTAAAATAAAATCTGAAAGAGTCTTTCTTATATATTCAGGGTATAAGCATGTGTAAAATATGAAACATTCACATATCTTTTGCAAGTTTGTTGTTTGAGATGTAGAACTCACGGAAAGCAGCAGCGTAGAGAAACATTATAGTGCTGGGGAAGATTGTGGCTGTTTACAACGGTTTGACGGATTAATATGAATTTGTAGCTGAATTATTAATGGTGCCAAACAGCATTTCCCATAGTTTACATCCTTGTTTACGTCTTTGCTACATCATACCGTTAACACTAGACACTGTGCATGTAATAGATCGATTTTAACAAATAAAAATACTTACAGGTTGCTGTTCACAATAAACAGCTTTGTCTATGCATGGAGCTGCTCCTTCTTTGAGGAGTTTTTAGCCAAATCCAGCACTGAACTGGGAGAGATTCTGGAAGTTCTCCTTTGTCAAATGCTGGAGCTATATCTATTTTATAATTCTCTGGAACATATTTAAAATTAAACTGTTAGCACTTTTCTCTTTGTGTCATGTCCTTTGGGAGCCCAAAAACAGAAACAGAGCAAGCTCTGTGGAAAAATCAGTGTAACATTACAACGCCTCTGGCCACACCCCTTTGCTATGAGGGGTGTATGCAGAGGGGGCAAAAGCACACATATCCTTTACTTAAGTAGAAGTACAGATACTCACGTTTAACACGACTCTGGTAAAAGTACAGACTACAGGCTTGTGCTTAAGTAAAAGTAAAAAGTACGGCCTCAAAATATTTTATGTAAAATGTTTGTTGCCAAATTTATGAAAGAAGCCAAGAAGCATCAAACTCTGCAATTATAAAGTAATTATAAACGTTCTGAAATTATAAAAAGTAAAATTAAAAATTTGAAAAATAAGTAGTGGAGTAAAGTACTGATAGCAGAAAAATCTACCTAAGTACATTAACGAAGTATTTGTACTTCGTTAACTTCCATCTCTGGGTTTATGTACATGGCTAACGCACGTAACCTGAAGTATTTGTGATCTCACTAATCCAGATAGGAACTAACCCTACCTAATGGAACCTTATTATAAAGTGTGACCCATTTTTCTTTGTCTATTTTGTGTGTTAATTTAACGCTTCAGTTTTGTCAGGCTCAGTTTTCAATAGATTCTTACAATGTTTTGAGTCAGTCGCTTCTGTTTATTTTAGGACTTTTGACAGAGATGATCCTCACTTGTATAATGGCTCCATCCGGTTGTCTCAGGAAATGTCTGTAATGTTGGCGCAGGCCGCTCAGATGCAGTGTGTAGATGGATACATGGGTGCTGGTCTCACATCCGGTATTGGGTGTGCCTGTAGGTGGTGCCAGTCCTTCCACAGGCTCCTCCTCCGTCCAGATGTAGTCATACACTGCCACCTATTGAGACACATACACCCCCCACATGCCTTGTTAAAGATAACTCAAGCACAGTAATGTAAATAACCCAGACTCATTCTGAAACGTTCCGCTTTATACATTCCTGAAGATTGCGAAATACGTCTCAAGGGGTATGTTTCTTTGCATTTTTTGTTTTCGCGAATCCATCAGAGGCCCCTTTTTACACTTTGTGAAGATACAAATCTACAAATCTCAAATTTCTCTCGCTAGGACCATCCACGCCTGCTGTTCTTGAAAAAATCAACCAGAGGCAACCGACAATTGCCGACATTGCCCAACAAACAATTTTCAAAGGCAATCCAGTCGTCAATCTGGCAACCTGTGCTTGTGTGTGTTTTGAGCCAAGAGTGCAATACCTAGTCCAACCACTGGGTGTCGAATGTACATACTGCACCTTTAAGTTTCCCAGCATTTTTTTTTTCAGGTAAAATTATTTCAGATAAAAAGTTGATATACAGTACATTTTTCACCTAACTTTGAAGTAAATATAAATACTTAATAAAAACTAAATACTTAAAATGCTAATTTTAATGACACTGTGACACATTTAGTCTTTTTTTATTTATATGCACATTTGAACTTCTCACAAAAACTTTCACCTAATTTACAACATATGCATATGCACGGGTTTGTTTTAAACTTGTTATATTGTTAATAAATTTGGAGTCTGCTGTGTGTTTACATGCACTAGGTTATTAAATTCCCTAATACCCGCCCAAAGTAGCTCTATATAAGGCCTTTTTCAAAGAGCAAATTATAATACTGAATCAAATGACAAAGAAAAATACCAATAATAACAATAATAGGCTTTACAGTATTTTAACCATCTAGGCACAAAGTCTAAAGTTTATGGTGCAAAAGCATTAAGGACCTGTCCGAATCCACTTTTGCTATGTTAAGGACAGAAACATACCCTCTGCGCCCCGGCACATGGTCTAACAGGGTTGTGTTTATTCTCTTAATGAGTTGTGGGTATGTTTTGAGCATAACGTGCATTAAACCAGTCAGAGTCTCATCTCCCATTCCCTTTAAGAGACAGTTGCGTCGTACCACGTGGCATTTGCTATTTAGATGGCAGACTTTTTTAAGTGGAAAAACTAAACACTTTACTAGCGAGAAAACAGTTAAACAGAACATCTGCAGCACGAGGATGAAGAATGAACAATAATAACGATGTGTGGTAAAAAAATTTTACTCTGTTATACTCGAAAAGTGGACAAATCTAAACTTGTTTTCATTACAACACATATAATAAAAAATACTGCTAATATTAATAACATCATACAAATGCACGTAGTGGTAGTGTTATAATTATTTTTGGGGGGGTTTTCACTTTTATTAGATATGACAGTAGAGAGAATTGACCGGACAGCATGGGGAGTAGAGAAAGAGGAAGGATAGGCATAGGACCACGAGGCGGAATCAAACTCGGGTCACCATAAACACAGAAGTGCATGTGTCGATGCACTAATCACTACATGTATAGTATTGGTTTTTATATTAATGTAGATTTTTTTTAATATATTTTAATCCTTTAATTTTTTTCATATATAAAATATTTGCATATTGCTATACATCCTGTGTGTATTCAGAAATGTGTAAGCATTTGGACCTGCATAGGCGCATAACTAACATGCTCAACACTGGACTTTAGGCCAGGTATTATTTGGTCAATGGCGCAGACAATTTCAGTTCCTCAAATTAGCAAAGCACCAACAATGCGCCTTAACACATCTCCTTTTTAGACCAAAACCCCCAAGAGCCCACAAAGTGGCACAAATAGATTTGCTATTTAAACAACGTGGTGCAAAACATGAAAATTAGGATTGCGCTGGTCTAAAATAGCAACAAATTGTGCCAAATACATCTTGAGCCTTAATGCATCAGGTGTATGATAGGAATGTGAGGTTTTGCTGTCAGTGGTGGCATTCAAAAAAAAAAAAATGCATGAATCAATAAGGACTTCTATGAGCAACATAAAGCCAATGAACAGCCATTCGACAATCTTAGCATTCGTCAATCTTTAAACTTGATCTGTCCTTAAAGGTGCATTTCTACTAAAGTTGACCATAATACACTGCATGAACATTGACGCTAATTTTCTGTATGAATGAATTGAAAATGCTCGCCCCACTGTGCTCGCAATGTACACTTAACTGCTGTACATGGCCGGCCCTCCATATAAGCGAACTAATCGGCTGCTTAGGACCCCGCTGCCACTCCACAAACCGCTGGTAATGCAAGCCGTTTCCTTGCTGAAATCGTTTTTATGTCATGTCAACCGGAAGCTCGCAGCATCTCATTTCTTATATGCGTTCTCGCGGTTCAAGTTTGTTCTTCTAAGGCAGGGGTGTCAAACTCAATTCCTGGAGGGCCGAAGCCCTGCACAGTTTAGTTCCAACCCTGCTCCAACACACTTACCTGTAGGTTTCAAACAAGCCTGAAGGACTCAATTAGTTTGATCAGGTGTGTTTAATTAGGGTTGGAACTAAACTGTGCAGAGCTGCGGCCCTTTTGGGAGTTTGACACTTGTGTTCTAAGGTAACCTGCAAGACCGACGGGTCACCACAAGAATGCAAATCCATGCACAGACACAACCTTTGCTTCATTGCCTGCTCCATTATATACCTGATTTTTTTCGGAAATTGGACCGCAAAAATAAACGAAACTACCGTTATCCTTCAGGCGTAGAAAAACTGAGGGGGAAATGATATCATAAATCTATTTGAGATCATGAAATCATATTCTAATAGCATATTTATTGAAAATAGGCAATTACAGATTAATAAACATAGTACTTTTATAAAATATTTCGTTTTTTAGTGGTTTTACAGACCCCTTTTTTTTACGCATTTTACTGAAGTGCAAAAGTACCAAAGTATCTTTCACTGACAGTTTTTGCACACAGGTAATATTATTTCCCAAGACATGTTTATAAAAGTTATGTCTTAATTGAGTTAATCATAGTAGTATAAGCTCTGGACCCTGCATCTTAAATTTAAGGAACAGCGAAGGTGACTGAAAGGAATAATATTGTATTTGGATATTAACATTAACCCAGTATTTGTTGCTTTCCTTTTTCTAATTTGTCATGTTAATATTTTTCATATGTACTTTATATTATTTGCCTATGGATTTTATTATTTATGGATCATTTTTTTAAATTAATGTTAATTGTTTTTTTTTTTTTTTTGTTTTTTTTTAATGAACTCCGAATTTATATTTTATTGGTAAGTAAGGCATTTTTCTGTTGGCTATTTATTGTTCTGTGTCTTTTTATTGCAGGGTTTTTGCTTTTGGAATTAATAATAAAAAACCCAACCTACAATATTTAGCTATAGAATCTTCAATCTATTTACTAAATAATAGAATATGTTTTAAACACGCAATGTAGGAATCAATGATACCTTTATTAAATATTGTTTAATTCTTCATTCTTGCAGCTGCTAGTTGACAGAAACATTGCTGTTTTAAAATGTCCAAACTTATTCAGACAGTTATTAAGTAGAAGAAATCAGGCTTTACTTTTCTTTTTTATTGGTTGTATTTAATAAGCAATATCATCATTGTGGGCCTGTTTGCAATGGCTATCCTCCACTATTTAGAGTAAGGTAGGGCCCTAAATTTATTCTGCTTAGGGCCTCCAAATGTACAGAGCTGGCTCTGCTGCTGCACTAGGGTTTTTAAAGTGTAAATGCAGCGCAATAGACATGCTACTATTGCGGTTTAAAGTTTTTCATATGTTTGCTAATTCTAACAATCATTCAAAGACTGACGACTAAAATATTTGATGTGATCTTAATTTGATATGAATCATTCTTCTTTGCCTGATTATGACAATGTAAAGAAAGCAAACAAGGAGCTGTGGCTATTGTATGCTTTCATGTAGGTGCATGTGTTTGTGTGTGTGATGAGATCAAGAGTGCAACTGTATGCTTGCTCAAATGCTTACCCTGACGCAATTATCAGCCCTACCTGCGGCCACAGTTCAGTGCTCACTGAGATGAATGTAAACCCGGATAGTTGACAGTAATGGTCTGTAATTTACAGCTGTGCTTGTGAGGTGATGAGCTCTGGCTGAGAGACACAGGAATGCAGCGTGTCAGGTTTCTGCATGACTCAAGCAGCCTCTGACCCTGACACGACACTAACGCACACAAGCCCATAATAACCTACTTCAACCTAATCCTTAAACGAGGGAAATGAAAAACAGAAACACTAGTGGCCCATATCACTCATTAAAATGAGAGTTAAGGGTTATGCTTGTAACATGCTGCAATGTTTTTACACTATATGCAAAGATTCTTTAAACATACAGTAGATAACTCTGAAGACCTACTGCATTATTATAGTGCTCACGTTGACCTTGCATCTCTGGCTAGATGAATGATACGCGTGATCACTACAAATATTGTTTACTATATTTTCTTTTTTTCACCAATGTTTGACATTGTCACTTCTTTATGCTATGGATTATTGAAGGGTTTGAAAAACTATTTTGACTTCTGACCCCATGACGTCATTTTCTGACATTGTTTTGAATCTACTTTTGAACTCCTCCTAGGACATTTGCAATGTTTTTACAAAAATGAGTCATTCGCAAACAAATCGAACGTCAGACATGATGTTACTTTTTTAGGTCACACTTTATTTTGTTTCTCCGTTTGTTGAATTTTAGTTACATTGCATCTAATGTCAACTAATTCTAATTAGATTGTAAGTAGACTGTTGGGGTTAGGGTTAGAGTTAGTGTAAGTTGACATGCACTTGCAAAATTTCTTATAGTCAGTTAATGTCTGTTGAAGGACTGTTAAATGTTGGTATCAACAGATATTAAGCAGACAGTCTACTAATACTTAAATGGACCATCAAAATAAAGTGTTGCCCTTTTTTTATTTTATTTTTAACATGACTAAAAACCCAGGAAATACAATTTTTGCAATAGAGAGCGAGTCATTATTTAAATCATATAATTAACA